AGGTTGATTGATAGGTAGGTAGGCAGGAAGACAGACAGATAGATTGAACTTTTTTTTTTTTAATTAATTCCTGGGGAAATGAAGGCTCCAGCAGCAGTACAGCACTATAAACACGCAAGAACAGACGAAATAATTAAATAACGTTGTTATTTTTATCATGTTGTCATGTGTTGATTGATAGGTAGGTAGGCAGGAAGAAAGCATAGAAATTCTATGCATATACTGTACTACTGCATACCTCATTTTATCATTTAGCTTTATGGTATTCTATTTTGACAGCTATTCTTATATTATTTATGTAATGTATGCATATACAAATTAACAGTTTTGAACAAGATATAAACAACATGTTTCAGCCAGATATATTAGCATATAAAATGTCTTATAACTAGAATATTACTATATATAATTGTTGGTGAATATTAATTGATATTGATTATTTTATTTTGTTTGTTTATTACGTATATATATCTGTTCCATATGTATATTGAAACAATATTGGACGACTATGGACTTTCTCTGGGTACTGGTGGCTGCGTAACAATGACAGTGGCACTGTTTGCATTGATTTGCAACAATTTAATGCACTGCTTTGTTGTTCAACTGAAGTTAATCCTAGTGGAGTTGCCGTTTGGAGCTGTCCAAGACGGCAATCATAGATAAAGAAAAGCTGTGCCGTTAGCTAAAGAAAATCTACTTTTTGTCCTACGTTTAACCTGCATATGTTGCCAAAACTGTGTTTACAGCATATTTTCTATGTTCTATTCTAGGGCAGTAAAGTGGAGGTTTGTCCTCTTGCCTTACAGCAAGAAGGTCACTGGTTTGATCCCCTGTTTTGGTCTTCTCTTTTAAGTTCTCCCGCCTTTTGTGTGTCTATGTGTGTGTGGCTTTTGTCCAGCTTCTCCAGTCGAAAAGAGCAGTGATATTCTCACTGAATAAATTTACTATTCAGTGAGTTTTTACACAGCGGCACAAATAGAAAACTATTTATGTGTTAAGTAATTTCACATATATATAGATATACAGCGCACTATATATTGGACTCACCTATTCAATGAAAAACAGTTTCAGACACTACTTCAGTGCACGTAGTTAAATACAGTACATCATTAATGTTGCATATTTAACAGTGACGGAGAGACGCTGCTTCTTTCTCCGCCGTGTCATCACGACTGGGATATACAGTTATTGCTTGCGTAAGTGTACACTGGATGTACAATAGATTTTGCGGTGCATTGTGGGATACATTGAGTGCCTTTGTAGTGGACATCTTCTACTCACTAAACATTCGGACACCACTACGAAATGGCATGCCGCCTTATGTAGTGCACTATGTAGGATGTAAGGGGCTGGTTTGGGACACACTGGTCTCCTTTGGTTCCTCCTGGTGCAGCCTCTGTGACTCTCATTGATCTAAATGACCTTCAATCTCTCTCTTTCTTCTCTCTGTAACTTTATTAGTTCCATGACACAGTTCCAATGTTCAAGGATTTTTTCAGGGATTCTGTGGTCAGTGTCCATTGTCAGGGTCATGACATCACCTGCTGGACATAGGCAGAATCATCTTCCTCACTCTATAATCAACCTCTGATTGATCCACGAGCCGCAAGTTGAGACTCCTGCATTTTTTTGTGCGTTGTTGTGCAACTTAGCCGTTTCCTACAACCGTGAAGGCATCACTGGCTGTACTGTGCGGATCGGTCAGATGTAGAGAAACAGTGGTTCAAATTTCATGCATGTGACAGATGTGGGACACGTTCGTCTTTATCAAGTGTTGGGCAACGTGAGGTCTATGTTTTGCTCTTGTATGGCCCATGGCCATAAGTTGAGACAGTATGATAGGACATGATATAGAAATATACATTTTTGTGGCAGTGTTTTGGCAATTTTGTCAACAGTCACTTTGGATTGAAAAATAAAACAGAAAACGAACAAGGTTATTAGTTTTAAAGAGTTTATTGGAGAATTTATTGAAAGTTGTTGTCGAAGCTTTAATGAAGCTCCGGGGCGCAGGTCTTACAGAGAGCTGTTCGAGAGCGCCAGTTTGCAGACAAGTACATGTGACATTTATAGAGCGCTGGGTACATTTGTGCGTGCGTACAAGAATATGAGTGCACGTTGGCCTCAGTACAATCACCACCTGTGAGAGTATCTGGCCTGACAGGAATTCAGAAACAGCGGATACATTTTTCAAGGCTTTATAGGAGCCTGAGAAACTAGAACGAGTAGATTTCCCGTCACTGGCTAACACTGGTTGTTTCAGTGTTTTTCCACTGACTATGTGAGTTTCAGTGTAAGTCAAATGGTGAATAATAACACAGAATATAATTTTGTCATAACAGCAGCTTGAATGGAGAGAGTTCAGTCACACTAAACAGTAGAGTGAGGTGATTGCATGGCAGCACTGACTCTAGGTGGCAGCACTTTGACGCCATTGCTCCTCTCCTTTTTTTTTTTTTTTTGAAACCTTGTATGTCACAACCAGTAACTCATTTTATGTCGACCTGTTGACACTTTTGTCTTTTTTCTCCTCTCACCGTCATCCTCGTCTTGTTCTGTCAGCTCTTTATCCTTAACCATAAAAACACATCAAACCCATTTTACTGCCTCCACCAGTCCTTTCTGTGACCTTCTTTGTTCTCCCAAACATAATAACAATAATAATGTCATAAATAAGAAACAGAAGTTTTGTTTTTCTTTTTTAAAAAAAAAAAAAAAAACCGAATGAGGACTAAATATTCATCAATCTCATCTTTTTCTCATTGTTTTTTTTTCCTTTCTCTCCATCTCCATCAGCCGGGGTTTTACAAAGGTGTAGCGGGCTCACAGGTGACCCTGTCCAGTCTGGTGAACCAGTCCAGGGCCATGCTGGAGGACAAAGCACGCCACCTGCTGACGGAGGCAGAGCGGCAGACCATGGGTTACTACGTAGAGGAGTACAGAGAAGGACATATCGGAGCAGAGCAGCTGGTCATGGCTCTGTTCGAGCTCCTCAACACACACGCAAAAGTGAGGAAGATTCTACCTACGTATATAAGCATATAAGCCTAAAATACCAAGAGTTAGGTTAAGAAAATTGAAAATAGGAATGTCAGAAATAATTCATTTTTAATTAACATTTACTATTAGCGGTCAGCTTTATACAGTTTTTCAGAAATAACACCCTAGTTTTAGTGTAAGCTGCTCCAACACATTATTTAGTATTATTTTAAAATACATATCAACATTATTTGTGGGCAACTGGGCAACTTAATGCGTTATTGTTGCATTAATTCATTAACGCGAACAATTGTTTTATCGTGTGGTAACACATTTTTTAAAGTTAATATTTATTTATTATCGTTAACATCTGTTGTTCACCGGCTTTTTTTTTTGTGGGTGTGTAAAAGTCTGTTGCTTACTGTTGAGGCGCTCGCAGGACGTGGAAGAGAACTGACCTTTTGTAAAACCCTGTCTCTAAACGGTAATTGCCAGTTATACATCCTGGCAAACGTTGCTATGTAAACAAGGTCCTTCAAGCAACACGGTGAAGCGGCGTGACTACCTCCAGGAACTTATTTAAGCCAGAAGTAGTATAAAATGTTTGTTTTGGAAATAGGATAGGGTTTTACTTTATTCATCCCCAAGGGAAATCGTTCAGTCGACACAGCAGAAAAAGTACAGAAATATACTTAAATTAAAATCCCCCCTCCCTATCTAAACATCAAAAATCTTGGTATAAACAAATATATTGATAATATAAAATAATAATAATTAAGAAAACATTTTATATTATTGTTATAAAAATGGGTAAAATAACCAAGTGAGGGATGACAGTGTCGAGTGGAAAAATGGAAACTCTCAATTCGATGTCTTCAATAGTTACTTTCTCGTAACTTGGAAAAGTTAGGTATTTCATGAACCTCGTATTCTGAAGCTATACATATTTTATATCTATATGTACACATATGTATTTATTTTTTGTGGATTGCTCACGGTTTAGATTTGTTTTGCCTTCTCCATGGGCTTTTACAACCTCTCACCCTGCGCTGGGCTTCACCTTCCAAACATACAAACCTGTGGTTCTATTCTACGGTGTCTTGATGCAAAGCTCTCTCTCCTTCTCTGAGAGCTGCAGCCTTTACAGCTGCTCTCTGTGGTCCAGGCGTCCATTCATCTCAAATGCACAAAATCACAGCAGCGCTTCGGCTAGCACATTAGAAATAGCGTTGGAGACGACGAGGCTGGTTTAAATTTAGATGGTTAATTTAAATCTAATCTCGTCAACATCACACGTGTGAGTGAGTCAAACCAAACAGACGCTGTTTTTAAAAGCTCCATAAAACACAACGGAGCAGAGAAGAGAGAGAAATGCTGCCGCAGATTTATTAAGAAAAGTCGTTGAAGGAACAAACTTGCTTTTTAATCAAATGAACACATTCACGGAGAACAGAGGACGTAATTCAAGGGCTCTTTTACAAACACACACACTTTAAAAAGATTAGACATGAAAGTCAGAATCATCAAAATGACAAATACTCACTGATCTTCACAAAGATGTAAAGAAGGTTCATTTACAATCCTGGATTATACTCCCTCGTTGTTAGGTAGCATTTGTTCAGGGAAACCTACGTTTTTGGAGTGATTTAGTCATTTGTTTTTTTCCACTGCACCAAAGTCCACAGATAATATCAGTCATTTTACGTCACAGCATTTTGTTGTTGTTTTTTTTTCTCTAGTTCTTCAAGTAGACAAAAAAATTCAAATGAGGCCGAAGTTCTTGAGCAGCTCCAACCTGACCACCACATAAAATGATAATGTTACGAATGGACTTTTCTGGTTTTCTTTCAAGAAAACATTTCTGAGACGTAACAGTAACATCATTAAAGTAAATGTCTTACGTTATCACCGGAATGAACTACGCTGACTGTTTGTCAGTACCTCATAAAACTGCTCTTTGTCTTTGAGCTTGATTTGAACCACTAATCACAGTCCCCCTCCCTGATCTTCTGCTCTCCCCCCCCTCTCCTCAGTTCTCGTTGCTGTCCGAGGTCAGAGGCCTGGTGACCCCTCAGGATCTGGAGTGTTTTGATGGGATGGTGCTCAGACGTGAAATCCAGGCTCTGAAGGCCCGACAGAACAAACCCGGTTCCTCAACCCTGCAGCCAGACTCCCTGTCCATGGTGTCCTACCCTGACACGCTCACCTCTTCTTCAGCTAGCTTCATGACAAACACCACCCTCAGCTCAGCGCGGGTAAGTGACCCTGTCCAGAGCTGTCACTGACCGTCTGTAGACCCTCTGAGTGGAGGTGACATTTTAACCTTCGACCTACACTTCCACAAATAACTGTGCTGCCCTATCACTCTGACTTGGTTTCCGTTTTATCTATATTTGAAAATACTTACAAGGGGCTGGCAGTCGCGCTAAGTACATACTTGAAGTATTTGTGTAACCCAGCCTTGCTTGATGAGTGCTTGACGATGGATGGATAGGATGGATGGATGGTTGGATGGATGGATGGATGGTTGATTGATGGATGGATGGTTGAACTGATGGATAAGGATGGATGGAATGATGCACTGATGAATGGATGGATGGATTGATTGATGTATGGATGGATGGATGGACGGATGGTTGGATTGATGGATGGATGGATGGTTGAACTGATGGATAAGGATGGATGGAATGATGCACTGATGGATAGTTGGATTGATTGATTGATGTATGAGTTGATGGATGGATGGATGATTGGTTGGATTGATAGATGGATTGATGGATGGTTGGATGGATGGATGAACTTAAAGGTTAAAAGCACAGTCTTGCTCATGCATGGATCCATTCTGAGCCACCCCATTTTTCATAGTCCCTAGTGGCCAGCAGTGGTATTCCAAGTAAAAAAAATGCCAAACCTCTGCTGACTTCACCCACATTCTGGGAAGGGAAATCTACAGTTGGTCCTTGCAGAGAGCTGATCTGGGACCGACATTAATCCACATTCTTAGAATCCATGAGTTTTTAGAAGGAATTGAAAACGAATGAATTTTCAGCAGTTTATTTCATTGTCCCATCATTATTTATTTGATTGACACCTGCATCTGCCCGGTAGAAGCGTTTGGACTTGGAAGCATCTGTTAGCATCATAATCGTGCTGTGAACCGCTGATCTTCACAACCAAAGAGTGAAGTTTACTTCTTCAGTGTAGATACTGAAGGAAGGAGTACCTTCAGTAGGTACCTTCTCAAAACTTCTGCTGATTCTATCCTCCGTCAAACTGACGTTTGGACTTATTTCAACCTGAGACCATGAATCACATTTTTACTGTGATGGCATCACCACAACTGCACGGGTGTTGATGGATGGAACTGAGGCCTGATGTTTGTGGACGGCTGTTTGTTTGCACCGTGATTGACGACTATATGTGTATGTGCGAGTGAGAGAAAGTGAGACTGATTCCACAGCAGGAAAGTTTTTGTTGTTTATCTTTCACTGACTTTGTCGACTTCAACAACGACGGGTTTCAGCGGTTGACGGTTGGGATAGAATCATATTGCTGCTACTGCTGCTGTTACCGCTGTTGCTGCTGCTGCTGTGGCTATTATGTGATTGTTTTTGTTTGTCTCTTTCCACCTCACAACCAAAATCACCCCTCTCCCCCCCACCACCACACACACCCCCTGTCATCATAACAGGAAAGACTGCTCTGGCTGATAGATATGATGGAGGTAGGCCTGACTGCTCTGAACAGATGGGTGCCGTGTGTATATGTGTGTGTGTGTGTGTATATGTGTGTTTTTGCAGTGAAATTGTTTTGCTGTGTTTCTGTCATGCCATCATACGTAAATGACTGATTGATCCTGATTGTGTTGTTTTAAATCTAAGCCTTTATTTGTATGAAGTGCTCAGTGTCTGTGAAGATTCTCAGTCATCCAGGTCATGGTCAAGGTTGAAGAGTTCAGGTTGAAAATTTCACGTCCGGTTGCCTAACAGAACCTTGAAGTGCTCAATGTTAAAAAGATATTTTCTTTTTGTCTAAAGAAATTGGATGGAAGGAAAAACTACTTTAAAAAATGCTACAAAATATCAAATTACTAAAGGAATAACTTGGCACCAATCTGAGTAATTTTGCAAAACAATTATTGTTGACATCAAATTATTTTACTTTTATACTACGAGCACTATCAGGATGGTCCGGATTTAAAATCTAATTAGTCCATTAATGAATTTTGTACCAGTGTTTCTCTGTGGTACTGTATCTCCGACATGAACAAGTACTAATCATGAATCATCCTTGTCACCGAATTATATTATGAGTTGTTGTAGTTGTACTCGGCGCTTTGACCCAGAGGCAATGTCTCTGTCATAGGTGTGGAACCCCAGGGTTCACCTCCTGGGCAAGTTCGAATCCCGGTTAGGGCGGTTGGTACCTTCCAGTGGACTCACCACCCACAGGAAGGTTCAGGGGGGTTGGTACGGTGCAATGTGATTTGGGTGGTGGTCATGGGGCCCCCTGCCTCCGCAACCCGGTAACGGATAAGCGGATGAAAATGGATGGATGTAGTTGTACTAATTCATTGCTATGTATGAAGTGATACAATAATCAAAAAGAATTGTTGGAAAGATTCTGCTTTACTGTGTCTGTATCACTGTAGTTAACAGATGAATATTTTAACAATTTAATTATTGTACACTAAGTTCCTTCAACGGAGCTGCTGACAGAGGTGGTGGTGGTGGATCTACACAGGAACTTCTCACCTGTTCAAATGTGACACTGAAAGGCATGGGCAGAGAGAGGGGTGAGTGAAGGAGACCTCTTGTCATCGGTCAATCTGTCTTCAGTTCAGGTGATAACAGCTCCTGTAGGATTTGTCAGATGACATGTAGCATCAGCTAACATCTATCAAACAGGGAAAGACCTCCAGGACTGGTCACGGTCTCTTAGGTTCTCTTCAGACTGTCACTGGGTTTTTGTCAAACACCTCTTTATTCTTCTGAGAGAATCATTCATCTTCTGAGAATCAGTCAGCCTCAGCCATCTTCGGAACACTGTCCCTTCAGGTCCTTTAACATGAAAATGTTAATTTAACTGGGGTGATGGAGCTGAGGTAGAGGAGTCAAGATGATGAAGCTGAGACGATAGAGCTAAGATGATGGAGCTGAGGTCGTGGAGCTAAGATGATGGAATTGAAGAGAACGAGCTGAGACGATAGACCTAAGATGATGGAGCCAAGATGATTGAGCTGAGGTCATTGAGCTGAGGTCATGGAGCCAAGATGATGGAGCTGAGACGATAGAGCGTAGATGATGGAGCTGGGGTGATGGAGCTTAGATGATGGAATTTAAGAGATGGAGCTGAGATGATGGAGTTCAAGTGATGGAGCTGAGGTGATGGAGTTGAAGTGATGGAGCTGAGATGATGGCACTAAAGTGATAGAGCTACAGTGATGTAGCTGAAGTGATGCAGTTGAAGTGACGTGGCTGAGGTGATGAAGCTTTTGTTGTGTTTTTAACAGCAGAGTTTAATTAAGAACAGCGTTCCTCTGAAGACCGCTTCCCACCTTCAGAAATCCCTCACTGCTCTGCCACAAATTACCTCCTTGCCTTTGTTCTCCTCCTCTCCTTTTTTTACACTTGAGAGACTGATCCTCCAGAACTCAGCTCATGGTTCTCTCTGGATTTGACAGAACACAGGTTTCCATTTTTGGAAAAGATCTGGATGAATGTGAAAACATTGGCTTTAGACTCAACATTTCTCCAACAGTGTGAAGAGGAATAGACTTTGACACATTGGACACTGTGGTGCTGTTTTTCGGACAAGACAGTATACATGCACGTTTGTTCCTGGACAGGACGTTTGTCCACTCTTGTAGGTTTGACATTTGTCCAGTAGAGCTGGTTCACATGTATCTGTCTGTCAGTGTGTCTTTGGGCAAGACATCTTAAGACACCTTACACTATGTTGTCAAGCTCCAGTCCAAAGACCAGAATAGAAGGGATTTTGATTGTTGTTTTAACAAGAAAAATCAAAAGTAGGAGTGGAATCTCTCCAACAACAGTAAAGTCACGATCTTGTTACGTAAATAAAGTAAGTAAACAGTCAAATATTTAAAATATAAATAAAATATTTATTTATATTTACTAAAAGCAGTAAAAGACAATGTGTACTTCTCTCTGGAAGCTCATGAACTTAATCCTACCAAACTTACTGAACGTACCTTGACTTCATTTCGTCGAGGTTTCAGTCGGTTTGGAGTTTTTGTCCCAGTCTAAAAACTGGGTCAGAGGAAAAAGTTAGTCTATTGAATCTTACCATTCCATTATTATTGTCTATGAAATATTGATTATTATTATAAGTTTATGTTGTAGATAAATGTAGCAATATTGAAATGTTGACGAAAGTCTACGACAATTTTGACTTTAGATTATTGTTCCTCGGCTGTCTGTTGTTTGTTGTTCTTCCAGGTCACATGTTCAGAGTCACTGCTGAAGGACTTCATCCCTAACAGAACTCTAACTCTTCACCAATAAATGTCATCGTCATCATTTGTTCTCACATCTCACACTGCCTCCATATAATTTTTTGCTTATTTCAGGCCTGGTGAAAGAAGATCATTTTTTTCTTCTGAAGTTCTTGTGTGGAGTTTACACACAGTCCTTCAAAAAACTGAAATCTGAATCCGTTGTCTCACCAGTCAGTTCCAAGTTTGAATGTAAATTTGACAACTCTGCCCCATCTCTACAGAAAACTACAACTGGATGGTTTGAAAACAGCTTTTCTTGTGTTTGTTTTGGAACAAAATGAAACAGAATCTGTGCAAAATAAGAAGCTCCTACTAAATCTAATATGACATTTATCTCTCTCTCCCACTCTCTGTCTTTCCCTGTCTCTCTCTCTCTCTCTCTTTTTCACTCTCGCTCTCTTTCTCTCTCTCTCCATCTCTCTGTCCGGCGTCTCTCAGAACGACAGCATGGTGGAGAGCAACGGTGAGGATCCTCCAGAGAGTCTGAACACCCTGCTGACTGACATCTCTCTGGTGAGACTGGACGGCAGGCGTTGGTCTGCCCAAAATGGCTAGGATAGTGGGGAGAGTGGGAGGGAGGGGAGGAGCTGTGCATCAGGGGAGAGTGAAGAGGAGAGAACAGTGAGTGAGTTTCCAGTGGAGACAGACGTTGGAACTGGGAATGATGTCAGACCCAGGCAGAGTTTTCAGTGGGTGGTGGTGACTTTAAAGCTTGGTTTTTATTTTATATGTCAACATGAAACTCCTCATTTCCACCACAATAACATGTTCACTGAGGCCAGTAGAGGGCAGCACTATATCTAAGGCTGAGTTTTTTTGGTTTTATATTTTTTTAAGATTTATATAGAGACCTATTAGAAAGGCAACAAATTTCAGGTTTTTGCAGTAAAAATTGTGTGAACTATACATAGACTCACTTTTTGTTCAGGAATACCTAAAACAAACAAATATATATATGTATATAGGCTATATATTTTTTATGTATTTATTTTTGAGTTAACACACTACATTTTTGTCCAATGTGTAAATATTTCAAAGCGTCCTACTCTCTTTTCTTCCATAGTATAGCGTTCTAGGCTGATGTCTACCAAAGATGGATAGAAGTTCTATTTATTATGTTGTTGTCTTTAGGCAAGTTAAAAATATTGTCGTTGTCAAGTGAATCACTATCTACACATCAGGCCACTATATTAATGGCTAGATTAGTTAGCGCTAACTAAAGCTAGCTAAAGGCAATCTGTACAGGCAGGTTGTACTCATTGCACTGGCTTTTTAAAATTATTTATTTGTTTATTTTGTTGTTTGGGCTGGTGTTCTGCTACTTTGTCATTTCATTAGCAAATGTTTTTTTTTAATTTCATCTCAGGATTTTCAATAAGAGGTTGGAACAAGGTCTTGACCATCACTTTAGCTATGGATACATGTCAATTTTACAGTTTCTATTTAAAAGTGTGACTACATGTTCCGGTAGCCTTTTCTTTGTTTTTGTTTGAGGGGGTTCGCAGGCTCCAAAAACAAAAACAAATTGTGTGACCACCTACGTATCCAAAGCAACAAGCAATATCTAAAGAATNCGGGGGGGGGAGGGGGTGAATAACTGAATACATCATCCCACTCACTTTTCTGTCTTAAGTTTGTCTTCTCTCGTTGTTTTATGTCTCATTTGTCTTCCCACCGTTCAGTTTATGTTTGTCTCACACACATGAAGAGGTCACAATATTACCAAGAACACCGACGAACTCTTCATCACTAACTGGTTCTTTAAGGTACCAAATAGTGTCTGAAGGATTGTAGCCAACTAACCTGTGTAGATGTGGGCTGTGGTGGCCTGGTGGTTAAGGAATTGGCCTTGTTTCTGGAATGTCACAGGTTCAAATCCACCGGCCACCAGCGTGAGACCGTACTTGCACACTGCCTAAAGACAAACCGATATTTGGTCTGTGTAAAATTGATGGTTTATTTAATGGACTTTGGTGGAGAGACCTCATGTTTAAAGAGTGCCACAAACTTTAAATATCTTTCAAATTCATATTGACGTTGAAACACTGAGCTAAAAGTCCATCACATTCCTGAGATTTTGCGTAAGACTTTAGTTGAGGAGCTAAAGTCAGTGTTTAGTAAAGCTGCTATAATTTCCCTGATCTTACACCAGTCACCTGACTGACTGTGACTACAGTAACCACAGTGCCAATAATTATACAGTGACACACCGACTGTGTGTAAACTCATACAGACTCGCTTTTAGTTCCCCTTTTATTGTTGGCAAACAAATCAGCTGGAGGGGACTTATTGCCCTCAACTTCCACGCTCCATATTTACACTGTCACACTTTCTACTGCAGTTCATTGTGGTTACGGTAAATTGATGCAGGGCTAATCAATGATGATGAATATGCTCTCACTACAGGATGATGTAGAGTCCGCCACTGCAGAATCACCCCCCACCTTCAAGCCTCCACCCCCTCCAGGGGTCCACAGGCGACAGAGTAGACGAGAAAAGCTCAACAAATGCCCCTCGTCCGAATCTTCCCACTCGGGCTTGTACTTTACGGCCCTATCTTCTCACAACCACAGCAGAGAGTCGGAACGACCACCAGCCATACCCTCACTGCACCACAAACGAGACCGACCAAGGAAAGCGTCTCAGGACTACGCCACGGTCAGAAAGACCGTGCCGTCCAAGAATGAACCCCTAAATCCTGCCCAGTTGTCCTCAGTCACTCAGCACAACATCGGTCCTTTCCCCCGGGTCCAGTCCCCCTGCAGGGCCACCAAACCTACCAAACCTGCCACCCCTACACCTTCACCTCCACCTCCACCTCCACCTCCACTGCCTGCTCCTCATCCACCTCCATCTCTGCATCTTAAGCCCTTGTCTATATCCAAAACTCCCCCAGTTTCCCCTCCAAGCTCTAAAGCACAGTTTGTTACAGTGGAGGTTCACAGGCCAAACGCGGAACCCGACGTCAACGAAGTGAGGCCCCTCCCTCAAGCTAGAGGTGAGGAACATAGGTCGCCTGAGGCCGAACGGACCTTCAGCTAAACTGTTAGACCTAAATATTAAAGGACTATTTCAGGTTGTATCTGTACTCTCAGTAACTTGGTAAATTACTTTACAAAGTTAGTTTCTCAAATTATACAAAACTATGAAAAGAGATTTTATTTTATTAGGAATATGCATTTTTGCAAATTCCGTTGTTTTGTTCTGGTTCTCGGTGCAGGTGACGCTACGTACAGCTGAGCCAAGTCACCATGGAAAAACTATTCCTTCAATATTTAAACTGTTATATTAACTGTTAAAAAAAGCACATGAGGGAAGATATTTTAATTAATTTATAGTCATGTTTTATTAACAGCCGTCTGAGTTTTAAAAACCCTTTGGTCTGAAACGTCCTTATTTTCTTCAGTGTCAGAATTTATGCTGTGAGACGCTCGTCCCTCAGCAGCTCACTGGAGCGTGACCTGAATGGGCCACCATCTCCGGACTGAACAGCAGACTTTTTTTTTTTTTTTATCAGAGCACAGGAGTTGTTCATGCTGACAGTGCTGAAAACAAGGCCGCAAGAAATGTACTGCATGTGGACCTAGGCTTTAAACGCAGAGGACGATCTAGTGGTCCAGATGTCAGTAAATAGGAATGTAATTAGGATTACAGAAGAAAACAGTCTGGTCAGGACTGTGGTGAGGAAGTGACATTGTTGACATGTCTGCCTGCTCCCCTCACCAGGTGGCGCCCTGTCTCAGCTGTCAGACAGCGGGCAGACCCTCAGTGAGGACAGTGGCGTGGACATAGCTGAGACAGGACACGTCAACAAAGTCAGCAGCCCCCATACTTCACGCACTCGCCTCCCCCAAGACACCCAGGGAGGCAGGGGGGACAAGCCCTCCAAACCGGTGAGGCAATGACAGGTCCACATTGAAGGGTGGTCGGGGGTCTAAAAGTACAAGAGTAAAGTGGTAAAATGTGAAAAGTTATCATTTAAACAAAAGTAAAATAAGTTAAAAAAAAAAAGTCAAATGTTCATGAGAAAAAGTACCATGAAAGAAAGTGGTAAAAAGTTTATGGAAGAGTATTGTCACCTGGAAACTATTTGAATTAATTCACAGCTTTTTATCCCATAATACTGTACCATGGACTTTGTGCTCATTTTCTTTAAGGTTTTATTACCACTTTATTCTCATGGACTTACAACCTTGTGTAAAACCTTTTTTATCTTCTGTAACTGTAGAACTACGACTTCAACTATAAATGTAACAGTGTCATTCTGGTTAACTTCAATTTCCTCCTTTATACTTATACATTTATTCTCATAAATGTAATGCTTTATACTTGTGATTTCGTTTTGTATTGCCTAAAGGTGGCGCTAATAAGCCATCATAAAATCATTATTATTTTTACAACATGTTGACTGTCCTGCTATCAGACAGTTTGTATTGTCATCACTGTCCAAAACAGAGTCGTTGTCATTCTGCTTCCTTGGGTTCTGTGTCACTAAGAAATGATTTCCAATGCCAGAGTCATCAATTTACAAATTTTACCTCCCCTCCGCCACATAGGAAAAATTGTAAAGTAAAATATCATCAGGAACATTTTTTTAATTGGAAGATTTTCACTGTCAGAACTGCTGAAGCCAAAACATCCCTGTTTGCTTTTCAACATACAGTATGTCTGACGTTTTAGGAACCTCTAAATCTATAACGTTCATCAAGAATACCTTGGTTCTCTCAGCCCTGGTACTCCTGTGATTGATTTAGCTGAAATCCCTTCCCCCTCAGTCTGTTTCACTCATGTTTTTATTATGATTTCTCATTCATCCAATCACAAACTCCCATCATTTAGCATGGCTGGAGTTCAGCTTCTCCACTCTGCACTCTGACATTACTCTCAGATTCTTATTGATGAACCATGGAGACACCCAGGTGGGGCTGGATGGAGTATGTAGATGGTTGATAGATCCTTCTGTAGAACCATCAGGGCGCTGATATTTACCTTGGAATATGGACTAATGTAGTTAAGAAGCAGCAGATGAGAAAATCCACACTGACTGACAGGAAGTGAGTGGAACAGCAGGTTCACAGAAATGTCACCACATAAGGTAGAAATAGAACTGAAGGTCTGGTTCTGATGTGGACCAGTCGACACACGGAGACCCCCCCGGTAGAATCAGGTTTCTGTTCGAACAGCCATCATGTCTCCTGTGTTGTTAATGTTATTATAAATTGTATTTATTATAATGCTGTGCTTCCTTGTCATAACCTGTCGTCTGTCTCACTGTAGCCAGGACTGTTGGAGCCCACGTCTACATTAGTCAGGGTGGCAAAGAGTGCCAGCACCCTTGGCATTGCCATCGAAGGTGGAGCCAACACTCGACAGCCGCTGCCAAGAATCGTCACAATACAGGTGAGTCTAGGGCAGTTCTTCTTAAAAACGGGGGAAGGGTGAGGCAGTTAGGTGCCAGGGGGGGTCGTAAGGGTCTCCAATGGAATATGGCATGCTGGACGTTCTACTGCTGTAATGCTTGAATGATAACAAGGCTCCAGTCACTAGGTGGCAGCAACTCATAGTTTATACTTATAAAAATATATGTTATCAGGTTCTGACAGAAATTAAATTGAGAACCACTGGTCTGGGGTGGGGGGGGTTTACGTAGGAGCCAACAACAACTGGGCCGTGTCCCTGAAGTTGTAAATGAAGTATGACCCATATAGTTAGCCCAGTGGTTCCCAAAACCTTCTCTGCTGGGCCCCCCTTTGGTTCATTTGAAAATGTTTGCACCTCCCACTCAATAAAAAAAACAGGACGCACACACATATATTGTTTTCAGATTTGTTTATTTCACACATCTTATATAAAAAAATATATTTTATATCAAATATAACTGTTTTAATACACCTTTAAACTTTATGCTAGCACTTCATCAGTTGGCTGGAGTGCTCAGAGCTGCTACTGCTGCTCTGAGCAGATCAAACGGGCGACAGCAAAAAACGGGAGCGAGAGTTTAAAATAACGACCTCCTTTGCAATTATATTATCAAATAGTCATTTGATCACACCGCCTTCAACTAATCTGTTTTTGCCAGTCTCTTGTTAAACATTTACAGCAGGGGACAATATGCCGTGTTACGTTTTATTCATTAATTCTATCCGTGTCACTTGGGAACCTCTGAGTTAGCTCATGGTGGCGTTTCATTAACAGATTGTTGGCAGCTAGTAGCTACTGTTGCTAAATACTTTCTTAAGATTTTGACAGGAGCCAACTGTAGCTGGACCTCATCTACTGGCTACAAAGATTATTTTCTCTCTACCCATGTCCTCTAACTTTGACGCTAACACTTAGCTATGATATCTGGACCCCCTCTGGTTATTATTTGACTTTCAAGCTACTTCTTTAGCTATGTGTTATAGCTAAGAGCTACTTTAGCTACTTTAGCTACATGGTGTTTATCAGACTCAAACTAATTAATTTAGTCACTTCTGTGCCTACACTTCACTATATTTTCAAGTGCTTCGTTTAGCTCCAATACTGTATTATTCAGTTATATATGTATATATAAATGGAGCAGGTGCTCTAAGAACCAAAGCATCCGCTGCGGCTGCTGCTCTGTCACAAAAACAAACACCGTCGGCCCTGAATGCGAGCTGAGGCTTTTACATTGTTTTCACATTTCACTAAAATTTGCAAGTCAACAAAGCCTTGCATCAGACCAGGACCATCAGCTGCATTAATCACCACACACCACACAGAATCATGGAGTCAAAATTTAAATATGAGAGCGACTGGCAGCCAGAGACCAGAGTCCACACCAGGTTTGAAGCTGTCGCTCAACCTCCGTCTCCCCTGAGGTGATGACTGAAATAAAAGAAGGCTGCTGATTGCCGGGGGAGGAATAAGAAGGGCCGACAATCAGCAAATTCATGTAATCATAGGGAGCACTAGAAGAAAAGGAGGGCAAGTGAGGGCACAGGAGAAGAGAAAGAGAGAGAGAGAGAGAGAAGAACAAGAAGAGAGAGGGACAACAAGGAGGTATGGGAGTCGGAGTTTGTTTTGATGAGGATGGCATGATATGAGGCCAAGATATATGTCAAAAAGTTCTAAGACAAATGTTAAAAACAGCACATCGCCTCCATCCTCATTCACCTCCACTCTTCTCCACCTTACAAAATTTACAATTTCCTCCATGGCCTTGCCCCTCAGTTCCTCTCCAAACTCCTCCATCCCTACACCCCAACCCAGACTCTTCGCTCCACTGACTCAGGTGATTGTGCCTTCAGCTTTGCCACACCCACCATCTGGAACTCTCTCCTCCCAGATATACGTACGTAATGTCCTCTCCTTGAACATCTACAAATCCTCCCTCAAAACGAATCTTTTCAGAATGGCTGTCAACATATAACCCCCCCATTCACCCTGTTTGTTGTAATTTTGTTTTCACGTTGAGTTGGGGTTTTTAAGAATGGCGCTAAATGTAAATCCCAGTTATTATTAGTAGCATTACCATTTCCTCTCCTACTTTGTCAGGTATATATATTTGTGTTTATGTTTTGTGATTACAAACCACTTTTCCTGAACAACCTAAAAACTGGTCTTTAAGAAGGCCCTAATTCAGGAATGTCAAACATATGGCCTGGGGGCCAAAACCGGCCCGCTAAGGTGTTTGATCTAGCCCGCATGATGAATTTTAAAAATACACAAACTCTTCATGTATTATAGGATATTTTTTGTAAAAATTATATTTCATTAAATATGAATACATAATCATAAAAAGCTTGTTGCATAAAAACAAAGGGGAAAAAATGGACTTTGTCATCTATAGTTTATTATGTTATGATTATACTGGTCCCGGCCCACTTGACATCTAATTAAGTTGTATGTGGCACCTGAACCAAAATGCTAAATGGAAAATGATTTTGTCAGTGGCCCTCAGCTGAGAACTGTCATAATGAAAGAAACTACAATTACTACATATATACAGTTCAAGGCCAAGACTTACATTACATGACTTGTATCTGCTGACTATTATGACCAGACTTTCCACCACTAACAATCATCTGTAGCCACATGATCTGCTGACCACTAGTGGAATCCATAAATGAACATCTGCTTCTCAGTTTTTGTTTTTAGTGGAGATACAGTATGTTTGAAACCCAGGACTTAAAAACTAATGAACAGGATTTAAATCTTTCAGGCAAATGGGCTGAAACTTTAACCAGGTTAAATTATTGACGGCTCTGTAATGAAGAAGTCCATGTTTCTTTCATTTGCACAGACATCATTTTTAGGCGTAGGGCATGATCGATCACAGTGGTGAGTCAGAGCCACATGGTAACAACGTCACTGCTGCATCCCCGGACAATAACAATGTTGGGCTCTGTGGTCATTTGAAGGTGTTAATAACAAGACTGCCTTAAGGATACAATTCTTCAGTTTCTCAGATGAAATCCAAAACTTTGGTGTCACCCGGAGAATGTTAAGTCGGTGTTATTTAGCCCTGAAGCAAAGCAAAAAGCCTGAAGCTCTTCAGGGTCAGTCTGAGCAGAAGAAGAAGGTCTAACTGTTTTAACAATGCAGCATGGCCTCTCACCTCAGGTTACCTCTTCACAACCACTGAAGACGAAGTATGAGTTTAGTTCTGATGAGCCAGAATCAGTCTAGCGTTATCAGTTCACATCACCTCCTTCTGAGAAAATAGTCCATAGTCAGTGCCGTCTTCTCATCATGACGACTCCCCGCTCCACTGGCTTGGAGTAATTGTTGGAGGCTCAGTAAATAAAAGAGACACTAGTGATGATGGTGATGATAGTGACGATGGTGATGATCCAGGTCAGGGTGAGAAGGAGCTGCTGGTGGCTACAGCCATTGTAGCTCCATGTAATATAGTCTTATATTCCTTAACTAGACTGTCATAGTCTAAAGGGGGAAGGAGGACATTAAGAGGTATTTTCCAAGTCCCAAGGACAAAGTATTAAGTATTAAGTTTTTTTTATTATTATTTTAAAACCACAACAACAACAGGACTGTTGTAGCTAATGTTAGCTCTGGTTTCTGTACAAGGACTGTTGTAGCTATCATTAGCTCTGGTGTATGTGCTCACTCACATCGAGCAAATAGCAAATGAACCTTAGATGTAAATTTAGGGAACTTTAGAAGGTTTCGATTAAATATGTCATTACAGTCGGAGATCTGGTTGTAAATCCACAATGTTTGTCCACAGGCTTCTGCACTGGCAGGACTATTGAAGAAAGTTCTGGAGATCATCAGGTAAGACCACAGTACTCTGTAGTACACTCTGTATCACACAAATACCTTCATTTGGCCAAACTAAAACCATCATGTCTATTTGAATTAGGAGAGGCGATGGTAGTTGTCACTTTACCACACCCTCCACCAACACCTCCCTCACTGTTGGCACACACACACACACGTCACCTGATGCTAACCAAACTGCTCCGTCTTTACAGGT